ATCAAATTGAGAGTTACGGTGGTGTAAGGATGTGAGTTGTGATGCAAGAATGAGAAGATATGAAATAATAATAATAATTCCTTACACTTATATAGCACTTTTTTTGGACACCCCACTTAAAGCACAATACATGTAATGGGGACTCCCCTCCTCCTCAACCAATGTGCAGCCCCACCTGGATAATACGGGTTTTAGAAATTTTAACATGGGAATGATTCCATCAATCCAGAATTACACACTTCTCCTCAAGCGGATGAGAACAAAGATTTAGCAGGTCAAAGATTTGGGACCTAACCCATTTTCTGCCCCTTTAGAGGTCAAATGCCTACATGTCTAAAGTTAAAATTTCAATATTTTCAAATTTGTCTCCACTTGTGTGAGCATTTTGTGTGTTGGTTTTGTAAAATATTATATTACAAGTTGCAATTTTGTAGGGCTTCAAGTTGCAATTTTGTAGGGTTTCTAAGTATTAATAATAATAATTGCTTACACGTACTGTATATGGTGCTTTTCTGGACACTCCACTCAAAGCGCTTTACAGGTAATGGGGACTCCCCTCCACCACCACCAATGTGCAGCCCCCACCTGGATGATACAACGGCAGCCATAGTGCGCCAGTACGCTCACCACACATCAGCCATCGGAGGAGAGGAGAACAGAGTGATGAAGCCAATTCATAGATGGGGATTATTAGGAAGCCATGACTGATAAAGGCCAATAGGAAATTTGACCAGGACACCGGGGAAACACAACTACTCTTTTCAATGACCACAGAGAGTCAGGACCTCGGTTTTACTTCTCATCCAAAGGACGGCGCCTTTTTACAGTATAGTGTCCCCATCACTCTACTGGGGCATTAGGACCCACATGGACCGCAGGGTGATCGTGGCCCCACTAACACCTCTTCCAGCAGCAACCTTAGTTTTTCCCAGGAGGTCTCCATCATCCAGGTACTGACCAGGCTCACACCTGCTTAGCATCAATGACTTCCCAGCTGTGAGTTGCTGGGTGAAATGGCTGCTAGCCGAAATGGAACGACAACTGCAGGTCTCAATCTAAGGTGAAGCATGAAAGCTTGACACGAAGAACCAGACTTTGAAACATACAGGGGTTCGTAAGTGATGGACAAGATGGAAAACTTGTGTAGTCTTAATGTGAGACTACACAAGGAGATTCATGTCTGAGACCATAAAGTTCTTCATCAGAGCTGCAAATGTTTAAATCCATTAAGAGGAAACAGCAACAGACCAATACGAGGAGAGAAGGAGATTATCTATAATGTTTATAAGGATCAAGTGGAGAAAATGATGTCATGATTGATTACAAATTGAGTCAGCTGAGGCTAATTGAATGTGGCTGTTGTGATACCTCCCAAACTTTTGTTATAAACTAAAATAAGAGAAATTTTAAGAACAGCTGTTACAGAACCTCATACAGTATTTGATCAGTAGTTCTGTCCTGTGCTCAGTCACTAGAGTGCTTCTCCAGCCTTGAGTTTAATATGGCTGGACTTCCTGTAGTGAGTCTCATTTCATGTATAAAGTACAAAAACACTGAATGTTAGAAATTGCGAATTAAAAAAAATATCAATATCAGTGTCAAAACAAATATCAAAATTACATCTGAAACAAAGCAATGCCCAAGCTGAAGAATCCACCTTAAAGATAAGTTTCTATTTCTCAGCCAGACATTTTCCTGGCGTCAGCAAAAATGAAAGAGGTCTACTGGCCTTTGTGCTTTTGGGAAAAACCCACATTCCAAGCCAGCTATTGGCTCGTGGACCTTGTTTTTCTCTGATTTAAGCTCCACCCAAGCATCATATAACAATGTTTATAGTACGTGTAGAGTAATACACACTTTCTGTTTCGGCTGTGGGGAGTTGACCATATCCCCTACAAATAAAAAATAATCAAAATATGGAGTTAACTAACACTATTGTGAGACATTTGGAAATGTACATTGAAGTCTAAACTTAAAGGTGTTGGGGGGAACACAAAACACTATTAGAAGACGGTGTACTTAAATACAAAGTTTATGCACAAGAACTGTATTTACATCCAATAACAAAGCAAAATGTATGCAGTAACACAACTTTAAATGTTTTAAAAAACTTAAAGGTGGAAATGAAGGTGTCATATAATAAGTTTAAAGGATTTCCACATTGTACATACATTTACAAAAAACAAGTAATACAAAACTAGAGCAAGCATGGATTAAACTGGGGGAAATATAATAAAAATGGTGATACACCGGCTAAGTTCTAGAAAATAAGCTGTTACATGTCAGTAGCATTTCACTCCATGTGAACAGAAATATTCTTTGCTAAAAAAATCAATAGTTAATGATTTTTTGTTAATATTATTGTTTAGCCTCTTCAGATTATTTTAAACTGTAAATTAAGAGGTGTTTTCTTTCTAGAGTTGATATTAGTAAATTACTATGAATCGCAATGGCTGTATGTTTCATTGCATCAAAAAATATTTTCAAAAAATTCAGTACTAAAACATAGGATGCAAAAGCATTCGTCTAAATCTGAGTTCTTTATGAATTGGAACGAATAAGAATAGTATTTTAGTAGTATTATGAATATAAATAGCATTCTTTCAGGTTAACACTAATCTGCCACATGAGGTACTGTAATGCTTGGAAGTAAACCATACCCAAACAATGTTGGAATTTTAGCAATTGCTTAAAGAATTTTAAATTATGCAAACAATGTAAGAAAGATACACATGGGATCATTTTCAGAGGGAGTACGTTTGAACACAATGCAGAATAGAAGGATTGGTACCAGCAGTACATACCAGTTGACTAAGTTAAAATGCAAAATCCCACAATTTGTGTCCAATCATCATTTTTTTCAGCAAATGTAAATTTGAACTTTGAAAGCAAATTCGGCTTATTTAATCTTTTACCCATAATGCAAGCATTGAGCTGCAACAATGTCTAAAATCTAATCCATCTAAGTAGAGTAAGTCCATGCTTGAGCATATTGGCTCATCAGGCCAGACTATATTCCAGCTTCTACATACTGTATATAGTAATACATTCTATAGTGTCATATATATAGAGTTACAGTATACTGTATGTCATATACAGTTCTATGTTCTATAGTGTTAGTCAGACAGAGAGTAAATACACTGCCACACTGTGACCCCCAAATGTTCTTCTTCTTCTTCTTCTTCTTCTTTTTATTATTATTATTGACAATGATAATAGTAACAATATATTATAATTATTATGATATATATGTGTGTGGAGGTTGTACTGTATGTTCTCCCTTACTTCATGTGAGTTTTCTCTGGGTGCTCCAATTTCATCCCACAGTCCAAAAACATATCCTTTCTCAAATGTGTGTATTGCTGTAGTCTCCTCAACCTAGCCCTGCTTGAAACTTGACCTGGGATGACTAACTCAAAGGACAGTGTTGACAGTGTCAATTGCTTTGTCCCGCTAAACAATTTCCTGAAGACCTTAGTTTGCACAATAGTTGTCCAATGTTTAAAAAGACCCACTCTAAGTATTTTACACACGCGCTTAGTTACCAGGCAGGAAAGAATTGGAAATGAACTGTAATTAGACATTTTAGCCCCTCGGTGAGTGATTTTACAAATTGCATTGTTTGTTGGGGTCATTTTATAATGCATCAAAGCTGAAAACACAGCATGTGTTAAGTATGATTTCTATGCATTTTGAGGTAATAAAAAGTTAATACGTTCTTTGAGTAAGAGTTTATACTCTCTCTCTGACTCTGAGCAGAGAGTAGGAGTTTAAACTCACCTCTAAGTCAAACAATATGAAAGTAGCAGTGTTTTTTTCTTTTTTTTCAGCATGGAATAAACCTATTACTTGTTCCTTTGCAGCCTACGCATGCTGATGCAGCTGTGTTAACACCAGGTGAGTTATGGTGTTTGCATAACTGCATAAATAATGCTTTGCTCTCAGATGATTTATCATCAATGCCCAAATATATGTTATGTCCAAATACACTATGGGAAGCTAAAATGGGGATGAAGTTTAAAATAATTTCACAATAACAAATCTGAGGAAGGAGAGGATTTCTGATTTGGAAATTATAGAAAATATATTGACCTCATTGCTCGGGCTTAATCAGTTACTGTTTGTTAGCTTTTAACTGGAACAGAGTCACACTTTGTTCCTTGTTCCTGATACTGACAGGATTTTCCTGATAAAAACTGTGGCTTTATTACTACTAAACAGTAACATGCAATTGTACATAGTTGCAGATATAAAGATGATAGTTCAATAAAATAAACCAGAAGCACAAAGAATTAACTAAATATTCATAATTATAAAATGCTGAAGTCCCTGTGCGCCTGTCTCTCTGAATAATGGACAGAATTTTAGAATGACAAAATTCTTACATTCAAAGTTTACATGAATCCAATAATTCTGAATTTAGATAGGTCTTACTACATACATCAACTATGGTTATTCTTACACAACTTACTGTCGTTTTAACGAACGTGTGTGGTATTTTCTTTAACATAGTGTAAAATGTCCAGAAACGTAAAAAAGTATATAGTATAAATTTATGTTAAACATTAACAAACACACCACATTTTTACTCTGAATACTGAAGAATCGAGAGGTTAACCTCATGTATCCTCTGTATTTGCACAAGGCAGAACCTTGGAATGAGGACTTCAATAAAATTTTAATTTCACCTTCACACTAAAAAGGAAAAACATTACCTAAATTGTTTTTTTGCGGGGAAATCATGTAATATTTAATATTTATGTAATAATGTTCCCAACAAAATCATACATCCATATTTAAACGCATTCGTTGGAATTTAAATAGATATATCCGAAACTGGCATATATGGCCAGTGATCCTAGTTTTTAAGTTATACTTTATTAAATTACCACAGTATTTAAAAAAAAACAATGCAAAACTCCACATAGCCTACATATATTTTCACATTAGGCTATCTCTGTTTCAGTTTCTTGTGGGTGTTATTTTTCCACTGCGAGATGTAAATAACGAAACCTTGACGTTTCGTTTTACGGAAAAAATAAACTCCATTGCTTCCTTGTTTCTATGAGCCCCGCCTCTATGGTTTAAACTTCAGCTTGGAGAAACCTTTTTTTCAGCTTTCGTCTGGGACTTGGCTTGAAACTATCAGCATGACGAGCTCTTCTTTTACGATGCAGACTCTTGGATTTATTCTTCTCGTAGCGATTCTTCTGCAAACTGTAGCCGTTGCTGTAACTTTTATATACTTCAGCAACGCACTTACAACGGTAAGACTTGTGAAGCGTATAAGATTCATATCAGATCTCAATATGAACAAGTGTGTTAATAAAAATGTAAGCACGGACAAACGCAAGCAGATTCCATGGTAATGCAACGCTTTCGTGAGAGAATTGTGCAGAATTGTGTTAGGAAATGCCTGTTTCAAACCGCAAACGGAGTTATAGAGTGTGGCAAGTTTAAACAACAATAATACTGGAAGAAGAGGAAACTGTTTTGCAGCCCTGACGATTTTTTTTGTAACTTTTGGATTTTCGCCAGTTGGATAAACAATGCAGCCCCGAGCAACAGTGCGCTGGAAGAACAAAAACAACTTTGTTAAGGTGGACTTGAGCAGACGGGGAAATCAAAACCTGAACGTCTTTTCATCAGGGCGTACAAATTAAAACGACATTACAAAACCAATCATTTCTGGTTATGCATGTACACAATAGGACAATTTAGTGTTATGGACGAGTGTATAATAAGTTCGAGTGCATCATAATACGAGTTACAAAATGTTTAAAAATTAAAAGACGATGCAGATTTGTCATAGAGAAGTCTTGTAGTGCAATATATGAAGATGACATGACCTAATGCATTTACTGGGCAGCGAAGTCCTAGAGTCTGAAAATAATGTCTTGCATGAGTCCTGGCAAACCACTGGAAATAAATTAATAACCAGTCTGTTTTGACCAAAGTTCTGCGGTACAGCTTCATGTGATGCAGTTGCACGAAATCTGAAGTTGTTTATCCATTAGGCGAGGAATTTCTGTAGAATAATAAAAACACTATTTTACTTTCTGATTAAATCAGTTTTATTAATATTAGGCGAATTTCTATGTTCTATATAGTAGCATGTGTGAGTCGGACACAGCTGACCGATATTTTATATTCCAATACAGATGAAAGAAACGTTTTCTAAAAGCAGTATTTCGTGCCTTATGCGGGCCAATATGAGGACCCTCCGAGATTTGGATATAAGCTCTGAGGAAGGAAATGATGACCCCTGCTGGCAAGTAACGCAACAGCTCCATCTCCTGATGGAAAAGGTAATTTAGAACTGTACTGAACATTGAGATCGAGTCGGTAAGGTGAATTTCATTCCTGGGTCTTGGAGAGTCACAGCTTCTCAGGTGTTATAGATAACGTATTAATAACTAAACAGGTAAAACCATGGTAACAACATAAACTGTTAAAAATAAACTTTAATATGGATTTAACTAGTGTATGTTGTTGCCATAATACATTAACTTTGGAACTGTGAGGCTGGAACTTAACTGGAAAGCAAACCTATTGATATTTCTGTCTTTAAGACCAGGTTTGGAAAGCCCTTCCATAGACACTAGAATACTGGAACCTTATGATGTTAACATACATTTTACAGGATATTTGTCCTTGTTATGTTTTGTGTTCTTATTTTTTTTTCCAAAAGTGATTGAATTTTAGCTTTCAGATTTTCAAAACAAATTTTAGAACTTGAAAAGTAATTATTCAATTATTCCTGCAGACTACATCAAATCACTATCAGAAGGAAATATCTTCTGCTGTAAAAGGTGAGTTGTCCTGTTCTTCTTGTTAGTATGTGGTACAAGAGGACGGCACTTGCCAGTATTGTAGGTGTTAATAAATGTTAATTTTGTCTTCTAGGTGAAGTGTCCCGTGTTTTGCCATCCCTGACAATAGGAAATCAAGACTCTCCACGCCCTGAGATTGCAGCTCATCTCACAGGAAATTTCATGGCCAGTACAGATGAAATAGAAAGTAAGCCGTATTTGATTTAGTGATCACCGTGGTGTTCTGTGTGTATTTCCATCTATGTATATATGTGTATACGCAAAAATATAAGAATGTTGACTATGATTACCTGTAAAATAGTAATGTTTCATGTTACATATATATATATGATTGATGGATTTGTCACAATGCATATTTACAGTTCAGCACAGAGGCACAAAGTTGTAATAGGCTGAAATTTCTTAACAGTACTTAGGCTTATTCTACACACAAAAATGTGAAAATTGGTTTAGAGCAAAGATGTGTGTCATTTCTTTGCAACAGAAGGAAATCCTTTAACCAAACCCTTTCTGGTTTATCTTATAGGTCCAAAACCAAGGAGAGTTCAAGGTCAAAAGATTCAGTCTTGGGAGTCTGAGAGAGGCCTGGCTTTTGTTCACAATCTTATATTAAATAATGGAGAACTCATCATCCCACAAGCTGGTCTTTATTACCTCTACTCTCAGACCTACTTCAGACACTCTTTACCCTTGGATGACTCTGAAGCAGCAGACAACTCAGTGAAGAACAAGCAAATGCTGCAGTACATTTACAAAAAGGCTTCCTCTTACCCCGAGCCCATGCTTCTCATGAAAAATGCAAGGACAACATGCTGGTCCAAAAATGCAGAGTATGGGCTGTATTCCATCTACCAGGCTGGTGTGTTTCAGCTGAATGTCAATGACAGGATATTCGTGTCAGTCAGTAACATCAGCATCGTCGACATGGATGCGGAATCAAGTTTCTTTGGTGCCTTTTTGGTCAGCTAGTCGGAGGTGGCATTTTGGCTGTCCTACCATTTCAGCTGGTCATACCTCATGTTTGGGGGCGTGGACTCAGAAGAGTATATAGCCTTTTTTCACCAGTGTGCATGTCTTACTATCTGTGTTCATGAGAAGAGACTGTAAAGAGTTGTGCAGGCAGGTGCCACCTGTTCCTTATTGCATTTAATGCAGAGCTGCTAGCAGCAGTTTGTCCTCAGGTACATACAGTACTGACAGCCCCACCTCACCTGTGCATCTGTGCACTGTTCAAGTGGCACAGGGGTGCTGGCTGGAATAGAAACACCAAAGGATCAGAGACCATACAGGAGGGCAGTGGTGAGACAGTGCAGTAGGCATCAGTGGGAAGGCGGTGGAAATGAGATGCAGGCAGGGCAAGATTGGAGATGCCTGGCTAGGTCAGTCTCAGATTTAACACACTATAAAGCAGTCTGACCCCAAGCTTCTTTCCCTGTCTGTGTGTCTCATGGAGAGCAAGCTGGGGTATGTGAAAAGACAAATTCCTAATGAAAGAAATTGTATGTGGCCAATAAAGTGATCTTATCTTTTCAAGGAGTTATGTAAATATTCTGCATTCCCTTATAGCTGTTTTAAACAACAAGACTGAAGTCCTGCTTTCTTAAAAAAATCTAACATTACCAAGACATTTTAAAAATTGGACCTTGGAAAAGGTTTCTTTGAATAATTTCCTAGGGTTCTTCGTCTGTACTCTTGAACTTATTGATAGGTGACATTATTCTCTGGGAGTACTAGACACGTCAGCAGTTCATTCATGACCCAGGAACAGCCAGTCTGTGAATTCACAGCAGTGGAAGAGCAGGATAAGCTCCAAGAAAGTCAGTAGGCTTTAAGGTGGCATTTAAAAACTTCCAAGGCTTTCAATGAGCTCTTGAAAGAAAAAGACCTGGAAACAGATACTGCTTTAAGGGGATGCAGTTATTACTGAATACACATATCTACTTACAGTAAGTAAACTACAGTATTTCGAATATTGGGGTTTGTACATTTTGTTCATAAGTGAAGAAAATGAGTTACCTTTGAACTTCTAAAATACACCTGTATTTGATTTTTTATTTCCTCTTATGTCTTGTTTTGCTCCTTTTCCTTTCAACCCATGATTTATTCAGCCAATTTGCAAAGACAAAGATTTTCAGCAGAGAGACAACGGAATGGAATTGTGAAAACAAGGCACTTTTAAGGTATTACAAGGATTCACTGATAAAGGAAGGTAAGCAACAAGATTGCAGAGAATTGTGCTTGTGTTGATTGAAGTGATGTCGATTGTACATTGTGTATGTTGTAGAAGATGTGTCATGGTGTATATTTCTCAGCAGTGTTATTTATTTGTAAATAGTTTTGTACAGTCACTTTACTAGCTCTTTGTAAAATAGACTCCATCATTTTGTAAACAGAGTAAAGAATATGCTTTATTTTCAAAGGGATACTACATTTAATGTGAAGTTCAATTATTTTAATTTTTTATGTTTCAACAGCTTTATAAAAATGATTCATTACTTAACTGAAATGTAGCAAAGAAATGTAATCACCCACAGTTAATTGCTGTAAATTATATCAATTAAAGCTAAAGGCCATTGCACTCCACAAGACACTTTAAAAAGATAAGTCAACAGGAACACTAAAAAGGGCGTAGTAGCAGTGATTTTGGGAATGTTATGTGAAATCATGTAACAGACTTAAATTTAAAAAGATATGCACTTTTTATCTTTTTTTTATGGGACAATAAAGCAAAGCATTATGATATTAAACATCTGTGATGTGTCTTTTTTAAAGGCAGTGTCTGTTTTTTATTGTATGTCCATACAATCTGGAATCACCAGTCAGATCTTTCTAATTCCCTCTCAGCATCTTTTGTTGCATTCTCAGCTGCACAGTGAATAATGTAATGTCATGTCATGTCAGTCATTTGCCAAACTGCTTTATACTGCGGGAAGCCAGAGCCTACTCGGCAAGCAACGAGCACAAGGCAGGGTACACCCTGGACAAGGCAGGGCGCCAGTCCATCACAGGGCAGGTCAAGCCAATCATACATGGGGACAATTTGGAGGCCACAGTAAAGACCAAGAGGGAAAATTTGGCCCAGACACAGGGATAACTCCCTACTCTTATCGAGAGACACCCTGGGATTTGAAATGACTGCAGAGAGTCAGGACCTCAGTTTTATGTCTCATCCAAAAGACGGCACCCTCTACAGTATAGTGTCCCCACCACTATACTAGGGAATTAGCACCAACATAGACCGCATGGTGAGGTCCTCCTGCTGGCCCCACTAACACCTCTTCCGGCAGCAACCTTTAGTTTTTCCCAGGAGGTTTCCCAATCAGGTACTGACCAGGCTCAACCCTGCTTAGCTTCAGCGGGTAGCCAGCTGTGAGTTGCAGAGTGACATAGCTGCTGGCAACAAACAGCCTCCCTGTCGGGAGTTCGAACCCCGGTCTCCCACGTGACAGGCAGGGATACTTACAACTACACTAACGAGAAGCACTAGTGAAGTACAAGAGGTTCAGTTCCAATAGAAGAAGAAGCACATCCCTCAGTGATGTCACAGCACATCTGCAGGTGCCCAGTAGGTTAAAAAAAGACCATGACTGGTTTGGGACGGGTCGCATCTTATGGGTACAGTAATTACATGCTATTGGTTCACAGCATCAAGCGCTGTCATTGGTCTTCATACTGTGCTCTGACACTGTTGGTGGGGACAGTCTTAAACTGCAATCAACTGTTTTGTGTTTTATAATTTAATTTAATTTATAATAAGTAATTCACAATCCATGACCCTTTTTTTCCCTCATTTCATGCTTGTTAATGCAAGTGGCATACTTTCTTAAAACTGTACAGCCAAGTAAGCATGCAAGTGATACCTACCAAAAAGAGTCCTGACTGATTTATCCCACACCTACCAGTGGTGAGGATTCCAAGTCACATCTGGCTAGAAACGTGACCTAAATTTGAGAGAGTAAGCTCCTTATATCCCTTTTCTACTTTGAGACTCACAGAGGAGACTGGCTTTTTGTCTTAGAAAAGAATACAGTTCTTTGTATATTCTTAGTAAATTTATAATTCATTCAGACTCTGCGCCATGTGTATTACAAACATCATATTTTGGGATTTTGCCCTTCTAAAGCTTAATTGGTGTTAATGACAGAAAAAGAAATCTAGCATGTTGAATTATCTTTTCCCTGGAAAGTGTCAGAATATGTAGAAATATAAAGCAATTTCTGTATTTCAAAATACATGGCTTCTAATTTACAGATTCTTGTTGAAATATATTTTTTCTATTGTGACTATCATTTTCAAAAATATCTCTGACAGGTTTATTAGGCTCACAGGCTAAAAAGCCACTGAATCGTTGCCATTAAATGGCAGGCCCCATAATTCTAAACACATCTCCCTGGTTGATGTTATTCATCTTGTTTCTTTCAGCAAATAGGAACAAATCCAATAAAGGAAACATAATGCCTTCAATAAAAAAAAGTTACAATATACAAACAGACTATTTTATTTACTAAGTGAAATGCAAAATAAAGATGTATACATTTACTTGTGCTTTATTTGCACTTATTTACACAAACAGTGTGTAATCACCGTTTTCCACAATTCTTCCTCTCTTGAATTGAGTTAACACCCCTGTTAGAGAGTCTATGGACCTCTGCAATTGATTTTCTTCAATGGATTTTCAATCTGAAACTGATAACATCAAAGGTCATTTGGTATCTTGTGAGTCAACTTCTGAGATCAGTTTATGCATTTTTAAGCTCAGCATGTGTCACTTTGCAGAGTTTCATACTGTACAGTCTCTTTCCTCAGCAGCCCTCTGGAATAATCACTAATATTAAATCTGCCACGCGTCCCTAGGCTCCTTTTCCCACAGGTATTGCTCTGATTAAGCTGAACCCTGACAAGATTGCAGTTATGCTGAGGGGTTTGTCATCTCTGCGATTGTGTTAACTGTAGTTTGATGTTTGATAACCATGGAATTAGTCCACATACTGTACTCAAGTGTGGAATCCTGATGTCATCTTTGACCCAAGACTTGCATGCAAAGCTAAGGTTAGCAATGTTGTGAAGATGTTTTTTTCCCCCACCATTTTAACACTGCTGGTTTTCTTTCTCGCCCAATTTGACAGCAGAAAAGCTAATACACGCTTTTGCCCTTTCTATGCTTGAGTATTGTAGTATTTTCTGATGGAATCAGATGATTACAAATGATGATTCCAAATAGGTTCTTAAAAAGTTGCGGCATGATTAGAACTCAGCTGCTCAGATCTTAACCAAAATACAAATCAGCATGTGTATACTGTATATCAGCTACTTTAGCTTCCTTGTACTGGCTCTCTGTGGATTGTAGATTACAATTCAAAATACTGCTGCTTTAAGGACTTAAATGTTTGGCTCATTGACCACATCAGTGAACTGTTATCTCCCTATAAACACACTATTTGTTTGTCCTCTTGAGACTCTGGCCTTTTTTCAGTTCCAGAAAGGAGGCTCGGAACCCTGAGAGAGCATTGTTCTTGTTCTGTACGTCTAAGGCTGTGGAATGATCTCCCACCACATACAGTACAGTGTTAGGCTGTTAGTGCTTTAAAATCCTGTCTGAAGACTCACAATTATACCTAGTAACTCTGATTGACTGTTTTAATTTTTGTTTTCTGCCTCTATTGCATGTGTATATCTTTTTTATTGTAAAATAAAAAAGGTATTGGGATTATATGTCACGAAAGGAGCAGTATAAAATAAAGTTAATTAAAAATATAATAATCGTCATACCGTCAGGCGGGGAGACGTATGAAGTGTATTACACTATGTATTTATTAATTTGTTGACGGGTCGCAATGCTCTACGGAAGTGTGAGGTGCTAGAAGGAGACAGACTTGACTTAACTTAGCACTTGTTCTTATTCAAGAAAGAAAAACATAGACCGTAATTTAAAATTATATTACAATAGCGATCGATACTTCACAACTGATTGCGGCTTCATCTCTGCTCACCCGACATGCGCACTTCAGAACCCTGGACAGAGAGGGCATGCAGGTTAGAAAATATTACTAGTTACAATGTGTGGTCCAACTTTTACATCCTTTGACCAAAGAAAAAGATTAACTATATGCGTTACATATAGACAGAGACATTTATTTATTAAATAATAAATCATTTATAAATAATAATTATTTATTAAGGATGACTTCTAAAACAATGTAATTACTATCATTGTGTTGAATATTCTTTCTCTTATATATATTGTTCTCTAAGGTTGCCGCTAGGTGGTACACGTTACGGTCATATATATATATAAACGTTAGTTACACTACTACCTACAGTACTTACTACTTACTAATAGCTTTTCTCCCATTTTCATTTCAATGTAAACCGATGAAAGCTTTACTTCTTAGATTTAATTACTGGTATCCAAGTATATATATATATTACATTTAGACATTCACTTCTATATTCTAAACATGCGGTCTTGGCGCAGTATTACCCTTGGCCACAAACATGCAGAACGGCAGGTACAATAAGCAGTTTTGTTTTGTATAGGACTGTGTTGTGCGCGGAGTTTCCTCTGTTCATCCGTGCGCCTGCTTGCTGGTGGTGGGATGCACAGGGATGGGAAAGAACGTATCTGAGTGGGGACGGAGTGCTCCTGAAAACTATCATTGTTTTTTGTTTTAAATTTTAGACTAACCGGGATAGATTACACATCTCGATGAGACTTAAATCAAGACTCAAGCCTTAAAGTCCCTAACAATGTGACGGGAGCACTGACAATTACATGATGCATCCAGTCACAAATCCTAAAATGAAACATTTTACCTTTGTCAGAACAAACGTATTATACTTTGCCTCCTTCACATGTTTTTGTCTCACCACACACATCTCTGTAGCTCCAAAGGGCACGGTGGAGAAGCGTTCCTTTCCGAGAACTGTGCTGGGGGATGAGTAAACAGGTTGCCAGCGACTACGAGGGTTAAATCATTAAACCCACAAACAAAGGCTCGTACTGACGCAATGTTGAAAGTGGGTCTGTCTGTTAACACTTTCCACATCGTCTTGAAACGTTCTTCGCAAGAAACGTGTGCGCCTCGGTCTCTCTCATTCCACTTCACATCATTACGACGAACTCTCCGAGCATTCGAAGCGCATTCTCGTTCTCTCCCCCGTGCAGCTGACATGAGGCGTCTGCGCCCAGACTGCTACCTGCAGCGCTTTCAAACTGAAGAATTAACATCTGCTTCCCAGGCTCCGGGTTGTGAATACCAGGATGCCTAACGGGGCGACTTACTCCAACTGTTCGCATAACTGCAGTTTAGATGACCAGGACTACTGGGACAACGAAACTTACTGGGAAACAGAATACCCCGTTAACCTTTTCCCGATTCCCATTTTGACTGGGATATCAGCCACTTGCGTTTTCCTTTTCATTGTAGGGGTTGCGGGGAATTTAATGACCATTTTGGTCGTCTCCAAATTCAAGGACATGAGGACGACCACCAACCTGTATCTGTCTAGCATGGCCTTTTCCGACCTGCTGATCTTCCTCTGCATGCCTCTCGACCTGTACCGAATTTGGAGGTACCGTCCGTGGAACTTCGGAGACCTGCTTTGCAAGCTCTTTCAGTTCATCAGCGAAAGCTGCACCTATTCCACTATCCTCAACATCACAGCCCTGAGCGTGGAGAGATACTTTGCCATTTGTTTTCCGCTCAGGGCTAAAGTGGTCGTGACCAAGAGTCGGGTGAAGGGTATTATATTAGTCCTCTGGCTTCTGGCTTTTGTAAGCGCGGGACCCATCTTTGTCTTGGTGGGAGTTGAGCATGAAAACGGGACGCTTGCCTGGGAGACAAACGAGTGCAAAGCCACAGAATACGCGATCAGATCGGGACTCCTCACCATCATGGTGTGGGTCTCCAGCATTTTTTTCTTCTTGCCTGTTTTCTGCTTGACTGTTCTTTACAGCCTCATAGGGAGAAGGCTTTGGAAGAGAAAAAGGGAGGCAATAGGACCTAACATCTCAAGTAGAGATAAAAACAACAAGCAAACTGTAAAAATGTTAGGTAAGACCAACTATCCAAAGGCTTCCAATATTACGTACATTAACCTTTTATTATAACATTTTTCATGCATCCTTAAGTCTTTAACCCCTGCAGATATCCGCAGTAAGCTGTCCACTGCGTTGCAATACGATTTGGCAAAGAGGCATTAAACACGCATCCAAAAGAATGTTACTGTTAAAACTGAGCCAAGCATATTCATCACCCCTTACTTTGTTATAGATCTCCGTAATTCAAACAAAGTTATATTGCACATTAAACTTCCTAAATTTCAAATGAAACGACGTAAAATGTGCTCATCTTAATAGCAAAGCATTAAGATCATTCTGGTGAAACCTACTAACGGCAGTTTAATTGCATTTCAGCTGTAGGAGGGTGTGTGTATTTTGTCTTAATATCATAAAGAAGCACAAAACACTGGAAATGGTGTTGTGCGGTTTTTGGTACAAAGTAAATGTACAGTTATGAGGCTTAATTGTAATCGTAAAGGCAACAGGGATTCATGTGAACTGCTGTTATTAAGTCCTTGGGCTTCTCAATGGGTTAATATTCAGAGTGCTCTTTAACTTTGGCGTTAATGTCGTTTTGTTTTGCGAAAAAACGTTTCCTGAAATTGATATTTTTTAGTTATCTAGCACAATTAAGTAAACTGAAGTACGTTAATAATGGTAATTTATTCAACTAAAGGATGTTATTGATGTTTGCGAGAATAACTCCTCACTCCAACACTGAAGCCTCAGGAGCCGCAGTCAACGTCCGCATAAAACGAAGAAATCCACCAGTTAGAATACCAGCCTTGTCAGCTGAGAATATCCCCCTATTCATATTCTTTTACTACCATTGAAGAATTGATTCTTGAAGAATCGTAGGGTTTCTTCTGTTCTGGAAAAAAACCAGCAGTACAAACTGGGCTCATATGAATGAATTCCAATACAACCTAGGTTTCGATTTAAAAAATACGACGTAGAATAAGGTACAGACGACCTTGCATTGGAAGCTTTTTCTTAGCATTTTGTCGACGTGATCATGTTACCTGTTGGATTTTGCCAGCACTAATTTAATACGACAGGTGGCTTACAGTTTTTATATTTAACTGCTAGAAATATGTGTACAGATACAATGACGCTGGAAATTTCACTATGCATTGCGTCTTACACAACATTGTGTCTTAGTTTGTAGAAAATCAACCCTGGAACTAATGTCCACTTAATGTTAATGTCCAACAGATTTTCAAGTCTAAAGATTTATTTTTAGGTTGACAAAGCAATAACCCACCTGTCCACAGAGGTGGACTAATTAGGCTACCTTATGTCAGCAGTAGTTCTTTTCTAAAGTATTCAGGTCACAATATTGTACTGGCAGGTGAGCAAGGAGTCATTCTGCCGCTTAACTGGAAATCCAAAATTCAAAAAGTAAAAACTGCCCTTACAAGTATGACTAAGTAAAATTCGTGACCAACTCTACATGAGAGCTACAGTCCAGAAAGGAAAGTTTTGGCCAAGCAGTGCTCTCCCTAATTAAAATCCTGGATGGAGTAGTGGAAGACACCAATTCACTGAGCCCTGAGTGACAGTGCATTGCCTAGCATGTCAACCATTACAAGCTCAAATTGTACGTACCCAGAAACTAGTAATTGAGGGAAGTCACCATACACTAGAGAGGAGAGACCTACATTTCCCATCTCCCTTCACTTATGTCGGAAAAACCAACATGGAGCTACGTATATACATAAGCAATATACATAAACTACATGAAAATGGTCTTTAGATCAGTGAACATCTGGCGAAGCTAGTCAATGATATTCATCCGAGACGTACAATGAAGACATATGTACAGTATGCTTACTGATTGCATTCTCAAGGAGAGCAATTGAACTTGGCGAAGCTGATCTGCCTGAACAAACAGAAACACCCATATGGATCATCACAAGTTCATGTATATGTACAGTATATGGCAGCAAGCCAAATGAAGTAATAACTTCTCCGTCTGAAATACATGTGATGATACCATTTAGGAGCTTTATTTAAGATCAATGATATAAGACCACAGCCAATCCACTATCAGTTATATCAAATCAGATTGTAGATAGTGTAGTCTATGTGAAGAATATTTCCCCCGTTCCACAGTGCCAATTCACAATTACAAAATACACAGGTATAATATAAGTATAAAGCATGTTTTCAGGTAATCTGAAATGGTAGTTCTATATTCTATATTCAGAAAGTCATGTTCAGCTGTCTTGTCATGCTGAAAAGACTAGACCACTGTTTAATGACTAGTCAGGAAAGGTCTGATAAGCGGTAGAGTTAGAGGGTGATAAGTAATTGAGCACCTGACTGAGAGTTTAATGACAGACGTCCCCTGGATAAAAGAGAACGTTTTCTATTACTTTTATTTTAAATCAGTCACCACAACTCAGTTCTGTGTTCCACTCATACAGGCTGCTTTATTCTAAGGGACAGTTCAGTTTCCAATTTCACATGCACCGCCTCCATGTCTGCTGAACAAACACATTAATTTCTAATTAACTTAAGTTCATGACATACCCTAGCTGGTTGAGATGATGATTAAACAAATTCGCATTTATATAACTATAAAAATCGACAACCTGTAAGTCAAGGGTAAAAACCACATTCTAGTTTTGCTTCTTAATGCATACATGTATTATACACCTTGTTATGCTTGTTTTTGATAACAAGCATTTGAAAACCATATACTTATTTATCTTCTATTTACTTGATAGCTACCGTACACACTGATGGTAGAATCGACGTTGCTCTCTAATATAATTTATGGCATTGATGTTTTGTGAATGAAGCATATGCTACAGGAAAAATGGGGCAAAAACCTTTATAATGAACAAATAAACATGTATATCCTCCGTTTTTATTGATAATCTAATCTTAAAGTTTCCAAGTAATAGGAAGGTTGAGCTACAGTATTTTAGTGATGCAGCAGGCTGTTGATGCTGTTTTGGGTAGGTAACATTTGCATTAACCTTTCATGATGTTTCTATTTTCAGAGGATAGCATTAGTTTCACATTTAATACCAGAAATGTCAGGATCTTTCCAATATTGACTGAGTCTGGCTCTTTAGCCATTTAAAAAACAAATAATGAAAAAGGTTACATTTTTTCATAATGTTCCAGTTTGGTTCTATCACAGATACGGAACAGCAAAGATCACTTTTCAGACTAAACACCCATGAAAGGGACAATGGATTTATCTGCAGTTGTTTTGTGTGGTGTCACAGGTAATTAATTTGCCTTTTGTTACATACTGTGCATATGTGGCTTTGAAAGGTGTTCTCCACAAAAGTGTCAAAAATGTTACAGAAATTGCTCATATAAAGGCCAAATAAAAATGTGATAACTGCAATCATATGCTGCTGCTGAGAAAATCACTGTGGATTATCATGTTTGTTTAAAAATAGTTTTTCTTAGCATAAAATCAAAGGAAATGGTTCTTGACATAAGAAGAAATAAATAGCAGACATGTTTGTTTTTCTGTGCAAGACAGGAAACCTAAATTAAATTCTATTATTCAAAATGAAGAGTAGTTCACATCTGCCACTTTTCCATTCTATCTCCCCTTCTTTCCATTTTCTGTGTATCCAGTGCATGAATATGGTTCACAGAACTTTGTGTTTGGATTGTTGTGCTTTAGAAATAATTTGCAAAAGTGCTCAGCAGTCCAAACATTTCAGGTGGGTGAGGGCAACAGATTTGCCTCTGTTTCAAATGCTTCAGTGGAATACGTCCTAATGTCGTGTAATACAGATTTGGTTTCCCTAGAAGAAGAACACGGCTCTTTCATCCATCACATTGTAATGCAGCACACTAAAGAACTGCACATTATAAGGTTTGTTTAATGTGGAACAAAGCAATAACTAAAAGATCAGAACCATCAATCAATCTCACTAAAGATATTAATACGATCCATTTTTCTCTTCCTCTTTGCAGCTGTTGTGGTGTTTGCCTTTGTGCTCTGCTGGCTTCCCTTTCATGTTGGCCGCTACTTATTTTCCAAATCATCTGAAGCAGGCTCCCCGTTAATGTCTCAGATCAGCCAATACTGCAACCTGGTCTCCTTTGTCCTCTTTTACCTGAGTGCGGCCATAAATCCCATCCTCTACAACATCATGTCCAAGAAGTACAGGGTAGCGGCTTGTAAACTCTTTGGACTAAAGCAAGCCCCAAGAAGGACAGCTTCCACCATGAAGGACGAAAGCTCCCCAGGCTGGACAGAGTCGAGTGTTAGCACATGACAAATGCCTTGAACATCTCCACGAGAAGATCTGGTATGCCAGAAAAAGACATTCCTTATGGAGCTCTTTTGAAGAAGCGGGTGTCAACCCATGCTCATACGTCACTTCGGGAGGAGGATTGAGTGTGAAGCACACGTGGAAATTCATTTAGGAATTAATCTAACAGAAAAACAGGATACATACATCAATAAACCGAAATCACTTTCTACTTTCTGACTTGATGTGCCTATCTATTCCACAAGTCAAACAATCCAGGCAAAACTCATACATGGTATCCCCTTCAAAACATAAATCCTGATAGTTCCAAATGCATCTTCACCATTGTAAAAATGTACTGTACATATACATTGAGACCTGATGTTGCAGTGACAGGCCAGGATAGTACCTATGATATTCTTCATGATGTTTTCATTTTTTCCAGTGGTGAGTATAACGACAGGAAAAAATACATGCAAGACAAAGATAATCACTGCCACTGGAAACATTAAGAACCCTAAACTGGAAACCAAATGATTACAAAGAACTGGCAACATAATTTTCCAAATAGGTCCTGCTGATAGCTCACTTACTTAAATGTTGCTTTTTCATATATGAATAGTGACAAAGGTCCCCTTTTCTGCCCTAGTTGTTCAGCAGTTTAAAGAAAAATGAAAAGCTTTGGCACTGCCCTCACATCTTGACAAGGTCCAGATGACTAAAAGATCACTGTAGGCATCGCAGTACTCTTGTACCAGTGAGTGAGGTGCCTCTACATACAACGATGCAGTAATGGTGGTGCTGTAACTTTTTAAAATTGAATCTCAGTGGAGGAGTCTTGTCACTTTACCATGTGCTAAGAATAGTCTGCTTATCTTAGTGTTAGGTCAGATATTAGGCTATTGAAGAAGTACAAGGGATAAGCAAAGATAATGCAAGAAGCCATTAACAGTCGCTGCTGTTAATCAAGATGGACATTTAAAATACACTAGTTTGAAGGAGCAAGACAAAAGTGGTTTCACTAAAAAAAAAAGTGGATGATAACTCCATGAGTTCATTAATGCATGGTGTGCTTCAAATAGCTCCATAATGCAGTTTATTCAATCCTATTGAAAGTTCTTGTTTTCTGGTATTTAAGAGCTAAGCTTAAAATGAAACTAAGTTTATTAATGTTATAATGACAAGTACAGCTGGAGCTAAGCTTATTTTTTATATCAAGTTATGAATTTGATATATATGATAATACAGTACCATTTGCAATATCTGCTTACAGCCTCAGTGCACTTTTTATTGATGGGCATGCAAACTTCGAAACCTTCTGCAAATATTTCCTTGTTCACAAGTGTGCCATTGTGCATAATGAATGACAAATCTGTGCACAAGTATGAAAACACTATGTAAAAATATGTACATATATTAATATTTGAACAGGTGTCTAGTTTTTGTGTTTTTTTTCTGTTGTATTTGTAATAATGAAAGATTAATGTACAGTATTGTTTTAATAAAATCCCTTACAGGAAGCAGTATAATTACAGCTTTTTCTTTGTCTTTATGAACTATGATAATATTTTACATACTCCATTATCACATATAAGGAAAGAACATATCATTATTTCATTATTGCTTGTTAATATAACATGAAAAAATACATAATAAATACTCTGCTTTCTTTATATTAGGTCATGGTATAAAATGAATCTCCAAGCACTCAAAGATGTATATAAATAAAGATTTTTATTTCAGTGGATTTTAATTAATGTCTATGCGAGATTAATGCAGCACTGTAAGTTTTTATTTTAGATATTTTTTATCTTCAAATACCATTTGTTCAAGGAAATGTATCACAAAGAGTTTCATCTAATCCAAAAAACCCTTCTAAAAAATCTCCCCCATTCTTAAATAAATACAAGAATGATCAAATCAACTTATGCCTTAGGCATCAAACACTACTTTATATGTTCAAAGATTTGAAGGACATAAGGTAAGCTGTGTAATAATTTAGTCCTTAAGGAAAAATTCCAATATTTTGATCTCAATTTCTGACTCCAGGAAATGTGCATGTTTTTGCTGAAGTTTAACTGATGTAAAGAAGGCTTTACATTTTGAATCCTACATTTAATGTTTATATTTATGTTACATAGACCGGGAAATACTTTAATTCATATACAGTATATCTTAAAGCTCAACATGGAAGCAATGCACACAATATTAGCAAACAGAATAAATCTGCAAACAAAGTAGTGGATGTAATAAGTTCATTTTATGTCCAGGTCCATTTGAATTTGAATTTGGGCATCTGCTTCATTCTCTAACAGTTCTGAAATACGGTCATGAATGGTTTGTACGCTTGAGAGATTTCCTGTAATGTTCCTTGGAAGTTTTTTTTTATTTGTCAGTTTCCTTTAGTAAACAGATCCTGAAATGTGGATTTACATAATTAAAAACAAGGTTTATCTCTATGGTACAGATCTATTGATTTAAGATTCACTTCACTTAACCAAATTAGTTTTACACAGAAACCAAGTGGGAATCAATTCAAGACTTCAGGGATGGATGATGTTGCCAAGAACAGCCTTGTTGTGTTTTTTTCCTGTAGACGTATATCGACTGTACTTGTTGAATTTACGTGATGTCTTCTGAAACCGATCCTGCTACAGCTCCCATACTGGAGATGTCTGAAATCTTTTTTTTTAAGAAGATGTCCCATTATTTACAAAGATCACGGCTGAAAAAACATAATTTTATAGCAAATGTGCCAAATTTAGCCACCGGAGAAAGAAACATGTTTTGGATGGATGTAATTTACGTCCATAAATTGACAACAACACATTATTCTTATTCTTACTTCCTAAAAATAAAAATAAACTACATATCCATTTCATTCTCAAGAAAAAAAGGTTAAGGAAAAACCCTTAAAATCACTACCATTTTGGCTTTTAGCATTTAGAGATCAAGCATTGAATAATTTTAGTTTAGTGCAAAATGTATTTCAGAACTATTTGGGATTTTCTTCCACATTTTTGAAAAAAGAAATAGTTGTAGTGCACACTGAGGGATGCTTTATGCTTTTAGAAAATAGACAGGGGGAGCTCTTTGAACAACTTTTTTTTCTGGTCCTTACATTAAACATCTCCTCTGGTTTAGTGTATAAAATACAGCTAACTACCAAAAGTATTATTTTAAGAAAAAAAGCTTCATTAAATTACCTATATTTATCATGAAATTATTAATAAAATTAACATTAATAATTAGGAGAAGGTTTAAAAATAGTTTTATGCCAGTTTTTTAAACAGGTTTGTAAAGTGGTATGGAGGCACAGGGGTTAGTATTGCTGTCTTGCAATGCTAAATAATTTTGTTACTGTGGAATTATTTTTTTTTAAAGACAAAAGTCTGTCTTCTTATTATAATATTTCTAACCGTCAATGACCTGATTATCTGCTGTAGTTGAAACAGAATTCTTGCAGAATTTCTGTTCTGCAGAAAGCATTCATGATTTATGATATACAGTATAAATCATAAATCATGAATTATTTATTGATTAAAAAGACCAGACTTTTGCTTTTAAGATCTCACAGCATCTAAAAATAGATGTTTTTAATCAGTTCACTTACAGATAATAGGCCAAAGCACACCTCCTTATCCCTGCCTCATCATCTCTCTCTGTCTCTAATGCTTTCTTTCATAACTTTTTTTGCAGACTAAAACCTTCACGAAGATCCAACATTCCTATATAAATAATAAATTCAAGCGTGAACTATTTATTGTATACGCAGGTGACGGGTATAAAATGTGTCTCTTGTGCGGCCCCTAGTGGCAGTCTTATTGTCACTGCAGCCCTCGGTGTGGTCTGCCTCCCACAACAGGAATTAAAACCTCTTCAGTAAATCATGCTGTCGCTTGAAGCTTGATGACTAACTTCAGAGTCATGGCCACTAGGTAAGCGTACAACATATCCCTCTGATCCAGGTTCCCAATCCCGGTCCTCAAGACCCACACACTCAATTAAATAATTGAACCAAAATAGACCTAGTAAGAGGTTGCAGTTCATCAATATGTAGGAGGATGCTTTTGAACTACTGCATTTTATGTAACTTAAAATACCCAGCCTCTAACCATGCAAGTTTTGTTTCAGCCAAGGATTCCTTTATGTAAAAGACCTCATACAGGAACTCAACAGCAATGAAAACCAACTAGACTGGGACTAGGATCTTTTTTTTTATAAAAAAAAAACAAAAAGTCACAATTACATCTCTTAGGGATAATTCTGCAAAGATTTGAATCTTCTGTTTTAAGAGCATAGCAGGTTATGCAGCCTGATATCATATGCTTAAAAATGTATAGACTAAAGTATAAAAGCATACATCAGGCAGGAACTAGATCATCCTGCAACTCACAACTGACAATTGACATGGGAGACATGGTTGTTGCTGGAAAAGGTGTTAGTGGGACCAGTAGGAGGCACTCATTCTCAGGCTGTATGGGTCATAATGCCCCAGTATAGTGATGGAGGAGACTGTACTGTAAAAAAGTGCCATCCTTTAGATGAAACGTAAAACCAAAGTCCTGACTCTCTGTAGCAGGGATGTAGCCAGGAATTGATTTTTGGGTGGGCCTGTGCAAAAGTGGGTGGCCAGGGCTCTAACTGACCGTCCTGCCAGCATAGGGGCACCCCTCCAATTTACAATGCAATCCTCGAGCGGTATATTCAAATAGTAGAATTAGCGGAACCTTATATATATATACTGTCTCTCTCTCACTCACACACACGGCTTAAGCAACAATTACCTAGGCTGCCGAACGCTACTGTGCCACGGCGGACACACAAAATAAACAACCAGTGCCTACCTCTGTTGTGAGGTTTTGGCCTTCTAGACCAGACGCAGGCGTCGGGGCTTGGAATTGAAAATGGCGATAATCTCGTCACTGTCTAGAGAGTCGGCAAATTCCCGTTCAAATGACAGCTAGTTTGGAAAGGTCTTTAATATGAGGACTTTGTCTTTAACGAAAGAAAAGCTGCAAGAGCTCATTTTCACTTGTTGCTTGTAACAGTTCTAAGTATTTCGTATGCCTGCTTTTTGATTGTTCAGTAGTTTTACGAGTTACTCTGAAGTTAATATTTTATTGCAAAATGCAAGATTCAAAATCCGTCCAAAATATTGTATTTAAAATACCAAGCAGGTTTTACCTTGAGCTCTGTGAAGTTGCCCCCCTACAGACAGCACAAAGGACGAAACCCACTTCATTCGATAGTGCTACGTTTGTGCCGTTGAAAGTAGCGTTTGTGCCGCTTTTGTTCCCGAGATATAGCGCCTTGTTTTCCCGGTGATCAAGTGACCACGCACGGTGACTTTGACCTCCAGTGACCCCGTCTGCCGAGTTCAAGCGTGTGTTACCTGTGCGAGAGTAACAGTTCTGCAATTTTGTTCCCGGGTGGGGGGCGGTGGTGGATTTTGTATGTAATATCAGTGTCTTCTGTGCGTTTGTGTGAGCAGGAAAATTAAATTTGTCACGAATATCACATACAATAATCAGAGGAGTATTGGGGTGTAGTCTCAAAAAGCGACCACTAGCAAACAATTGCATGTTCTTACCAAGAAGCTTTAACAAGCGCGTCTTAATACTTCGTAGCGGTGTGCTTTTTTAAAAATCTGAAGAAGTGATCAGTTTCTCACTGTCTCCTTCTTAAATAAACACACGCACCAAGGGACGTGTAAAGATCCGACCCGTCAGTCGAGAGACGTGTTCAAAACGGCTTGAATCTGCAGCTATATACGAACAAGACCACTGTTGCACTTTTTATGCAAAGCACATTCGTTAACGTGGAAAAAGAACCAGGGTGTTTTTAAGGGGCACAACAAGGTTGTCGCGGGTAGTAAATAACACATCCGAGAAGAAACACTGGAAATTCCACCGTCTCACACCTGTGGACCGCGGCAATATTGGAAACATATTTTTTTATTTTCACATACTGTAACAGAAGTGAACATATATCTGAGTTCTTTAATAAACTGTCATTATCCGTGTGTTTGTATTTACAGGGGGATTATACGCAAACATGAAGCGATGAGCTCACAGTCCTTTTGTCTTTGTGTTTCCGGCCAGTCCTTGGTGTAGAATACAGCGTGAGGGCACACCTGCCCTCTGAAGACACAGGTATGGGCGCCTGTGTTAGATCCTCAGGTGAAGTCGAGTCTTCTGCAGTTTGCAATGTAACGACCCAGACATGTTTGTTTGTCCACGAAGTTGCCCACCCGCCCGTCGAACAGCACCAACGACTAAACTCCAATCGTTAGTGCTGTGTTTGTCCCGGTTTGTGTTGCTGTAAGTAGCGTTTGTGTTGCTTTCGTTTCCGAGATATAGCGCAAACCGGGGTTTTTCGGGTAATCACGTGATTATCTACAAGGAAGTTTACAGGTACCAACAAACTCGGT